AAATCTTGACCTAAAGTTTTCTTATTCCATTAATGAGCTTCCAGGTAACCATAAGCCCCTCAAAATTGAGACCAAATTTGTGTAAATATTTGTAAATGTGGTTTTTTAAAAAAATTACTTTGTGTGTATGTTTCTCTTTTTTATTATTTTTGTTCCTTTAAATGTAAGTAGGCAAAATGTCTATAATTTCGTGAGATTATCAAAAGTATATGTGACCCAAAGAGATCTAACTCCATTGGTTTGGAACAAAGACTAAAAAGAGCTGGGAAGCAGCTTGTACAAAATTAGCATCCAGTAAAATGGAAATAGTTGAGTAAGTTGCAGTATATCCTGTGATGGAATAATATGCACCTAACAAAAATTATGTTTATAAGGAATCAAAAGAAGGAAAAATGTAGAAGATATAATATTAAGCAATCATAGTTATGACTAAAAATACTCAATATTATGGTATACGAGTTTCCTTCAAAAAGTTCATGGAAAGATTTGCATTATCCTTTAATTTTATTTTTCCATGAACTTTTTGAGGTACACTCTTATATGATTCCCATCTAATATGACAGGGTTTTGAAGACATTTTTCAAGGATTGTATCCTGAATGTTATTTTAATTGGTCATTCAGTGAAGAATTGAAGAGGTGCAGCCACACTTACTGAGCATCTCTTCTGCACCAAATACTGTTCTGTTCATGCATATGTATTTTCTTCCTCAGACTTTGAAGGTACCTAATTCTTGTTGACTCACAGGAGAATCTTGACAGTGAAAGTGCCATGTTGTATTGATGAACAGCAGCTACAAGATGTTCAAGAGCTGGTAGGTATCATTTGTTTCAGGGCCACTGATTTTCAGTGTTGGTCCTGCTTGTTCAGTTTTCTTAATGACTGAAATATATCCCTCCCCATCATTCAACTTTTTACATTTGGAAATGTCTATATTTCTGATTATGGAATTAATGTAAGGTTTTTATATAGAAATTTTTTACATAGACTTTTTTACATAGAAATTACTTTTAGTTGAATATCCTTGTATATATATCTTGTGTACTTCTCTAGCTGTTTCTTAAGGATATATTTCTAGAAGTAGAATTTTGGGTAAAAATTCGTCCCCAAATGCAAGATCCTGTGATAGTCCTCGGGGGGTGGGGGGGGGGAATAATGCAATGACTAAAAAACATACTTATTACCTTGAAGACAAAGAAGACAAAATATGCATAGGAATAGGTGTACCAGCCAGCAACAAAAGGTAATAGGCAACCCAGGTGACCTGCCTTAGGAACTCATAGGAAGGGAATTATAGGCATTACTTTTACTGTTGGGTAATGACCAACTTTGTGGAGGTAAATGGAATTTATTCCATAAGCTTTATACTTTCTTGTTTTTATTCTCCTAATGGTAGTTGCAAAGTGAGACTAATAGGATCAGGTGATTCAGTAGTTATCTGGAGGGTATTATGTCTAAGACAGGTTCAGATGCGAAATAAACCCATCTGTCAAGAAGACATGAGAGGAAGCAGGATAAGATCTCTTCAATACACCTATGACATTGCTTGGGGAATTTCAGCCATTTTTTCTAGGTAGGACAGGGGCAAATATAGAAATCATACAGTTAATATAATGCATGGCAATGGTTAGGATAATTATGCAGAACACCTAAACAAAAAGAACATTGTGGGCCGGCCCGGTGGCGCACTGGAGAGTGCACCGCTTGGGAGCGTGGCGGCGCTCCCGCC